TTTATTTTTATGGCTTTAAAACACAATCAAATAAAAACAAGAATTCCATTAGTAGTTGAATATTGTAATAATAGAGTTGAGAATAAATTTTACTGCTATAGGAACTATAAAACAGCAATAATAAAAAACACTATTATTGTGAATACATTGTGTTGAAATGACTAACTAGAAAGCTATAAAACACAGCGATAAGGAATAATCTAATCACCAAAAAAGATGTGACAATAATTCACCCTTGTTAGTGAGGAGTTCATGGTTCCAGTTCATTGGCCCCAAGTGCTCTGGGTTACTGCTTGCATTCCATAAGGTTGCAGAAAGATAATCTTTGGCCATTGGGTTGGCAGGAGACCACATATTACAGTGAAATTGGACATGAGTATTGAGGAAAATCCAATTATCAGTGACTGATAGGAAAACCCTGTATAGTACTGCCAAATGTCCTCAAATATATTCTTAAAAATGATTTGCAGGTTTCCATTAACAATTTGTGTGTATTATTTGACTGTGCATTTCATGTATTTCTTATTTTTAATATATGTTCTTTTTCGTCAGAATAACTGAATGGGATTACATACCTTCTGAGGAAAAGAGCCTATTTAATCTTACTTTTTATTTAAACTACGATGTGTCCCTGAGTGCATCTGGGTCCCACTGCAATTAGCAGAATAATGGAAAGAAAACACCCTTAATCCTATGTTTCTCTCTCCCTCTGTGGAACTCATGGCTCCATTAAAACCCTTGCTGCATCTCGCTTGCTGTTCTAAGTGATAATCTTGCTGGGTACAGTACCCTAGGTTGCAGGTTTTCCTCCTTCAGGCCTTTGAATATATCTTGCCACTGCCTTCTGATCAGCAACTTTTCTGTAGAGACATCAGCGAATAGCCTTATGGGGTTTCCCTTGTAACTAACTCTTTGTTTTTATGTTGCTGCTTTTAGAATCTTCTCTTTATATTTAACTTTGACCATTTTAATTATAATATGTCTTGATTAGGTCTGTTTGGGTTCACCTTGTTTGGGACCCTGTGTGCTTCCTGTACCTGGATATCTGTTTCCCTTTTAGGTTTGGAAAGTTTTCAGCCATAGTTTCTTCAAACATGTTTTCAATGCCTTTTTCTCTTTCTTCTCCTTCTGGGATCCCTATTATGCACAGATTGGCATGTTTTATATTATCTTGTAGGTCTTTTATATTGCTTTATTTATTTTTTTTATTTTTATTTATTTATTTTTTGGTCTGCTGTTCAGATTGATTTCCATTATTCGATCTTCCAGATCACTTATTCGTTCTTCTATATTATGGAGTCTATTTATTGCCTTTAGCTTGGCTTTCATCTCAGCACTTGAGTTTTCTGATTTTAGTTGGCTCCTCTTTATAGTTTCTAATTCCTTGTTATAGTGATCTGCATTTTTATCAATAGCTTTTCTTAATTCCTTCAGTATTGTTTATCATCTCCTTTTAAAAATCAGATTCTGGCAGACTTGAGAGGTCTATTTCATTGTGTTATTTTAGGGGATTTTTCTTGTTCTTTTAACTGGGAGTAGTTCCTCTGCTTCTTCATTTTACTTATATTTCTCTGGCTCCATGCATGTAGAAGTAACAGTTACCTACTGCCATCTTGAAGGCCTGATTTTATGTGGGAATGTCCTTGTGTAGCTTGTGTGCATCTAATATTTTTGGTGTGAGGGCTGTTTTTAGTATGGATGCCTGCCACATCTTTCCTCCATGTGTGCTGGCTGCTATCCCCTCGATAGGGGGTGTGATGAGTGTGTTAGAGCCTGTACTGGATGTTGAGTGGGGCATGCTCTTTGTTCTGTGGTTGTCACAGCCCTGTTGGGAGCCAGGTGCGTTCCGCAGTTGTTGGAGCAGAAGCCGCCAGATCAGTTTCTAAGCTGCTGTGTGAGTTAGGACTGGAGTGCTTCTAGGGGAAGAGGAACCACTGAGTATTCCTCCACAGGAGATGTCCACCAGAAAGTGCCCTCTGTGGTTTGCCTGTCACCCGTTGTGCAGACTCACAAAGTACACTGTTGTTGGTGCTGCCCTTGGCCCCACCTCAGCCATGGAAATGCAGGCAGTCTGTCTGGGTGTCCCTCATGCACAGTGCACTCAAAGCCATGAGGGCAGATCCACTGAAGTCACCAGGACCCACTGTAGTTGCACACAGTAATACACCTGGATCCACCATGGACCACAGGGTCAGCACAGACCCCAGCCCTGCCACCACGTGCACACACCCACTGTTGACACCAGACCTGCCCCAGCCACACACCGGTGTTCTTCTCAGATGTCCTGGATGCGCTGAGTTTATAAAGGAACTGGTGATGTAAATCCATCAAAGCTGCCTGGGATACAACCCAAATTTCATCCCCAGCTCCCAAAGTTACATAGCCCTAGGGAATGGGCTCAGATTTCAGCCCTGCCTCCACTTGGAGGAACCCACCAGCTATTGCACCCTTCCAGAGCAAGCCGAAAAGGAGACCGCTATGACAGGGTCCCGCACCTTGCTCCAAGAGCAGGCTGACAATGGGGCTTTTTATGGCCAAGCCAGGCCCTGTGGACTGGCAGAGAAGGAGGACGCTATGGTGGTCCTGCCTTTCCCTTCGTGTGTACCAACGATGGAGCTTCCTATGGCAAACCAGGCTCCTATGCACACACTCCCAGCCTTAATCTATACCCCACTCCAGCCCCCTCAGGCTGTCTCCATGCAGCCAACCCCAGTCCTTTCCCCAGGTCTGTCCTCTGGAGCCAAGTTTCAGCACCCAGTCCCAGCATGCACCAGCAGGCTTGCGTCTCAGGCTGGGGAATGCACGGACCCTCTGAGCCAGTTTTCTCTGTTCTGTGTTCTGCAGGGTGACTGCTGCTCTCTCCTCCGAGCCTCTAGAGCTCCCCTTCTGGCCCAGCGGATCTCCCCGCTGGTGAAGGGGTTTCCCAGGGTGACAGCACTTTTTCTCTTTCACTGCTCCCTCCCCAATTTACAGGACTTGTCCTTTCTTTCATTTTTCTTTTAAATTCTACCCAGTTATGTGGCGATTTTTCTTGTAGCTTCATTTGTCTAAGATCTTCTGCCAGAGCTTAGTAGGTATTCCGTGAGAGTTGTTCCACATGTAGATGTATTTCATGTATTTGTGGGAGAGAGTGAGCTGTGCATCTTCATATTCCACCATCTTGAAGGCCTTCCTCAAAATCCTTGCTTCAGAATTAGGATGACCAAGATGGGTACCCTGTCTTGCCCCTGGGTGAGGGAAAGAGTATCGCGGTGTGTTGCATTTTATCCCTCTTTCTGAACATCATCAAAATTCAAGATTTCCAATTGATGGTATCTCCAGGGGATGAAGGAAGATCATAGACAATGACGTTTCCACTAGGCAATGGAGGCATGCTGCTGGAGTTTTTTACACCCACCACCTTCACTCTCCCACTTCCCTTTCCTTATTTAACCAACTCCAGTTGGCTTCTGTCCCTATCACACGCCATGTGCTGACTGAAATTGCTCTTTTTAAGGTTCAGGAGCCTATCCTTTTGGATAAGATTGCTAGTTCTCAGTCCTCATGTGACTCGACTTCTTAACAACATTGGCCGATTTGGTAACTCTCACTTCTTAAAATGTTTTTTCTCATTTGGCTTCTGGGACACAACAGTGTCTCACTGCTCCAGCTGCCTCACTGGCTGCTCTTTCTTAATTTCTGTTGCTGGATTCCTCTCTTCTACCAAGATCTCTATATGTTAGACTGACTCAAGTTTCAATCTTCATTATTCTCAATCTATACTTAGACCCTTGAAGAGCTCCTCTGTGTGGCTGAAAACACCATCTCGTTCATGCCCAAGAGCCACAAATGTATACACTTTGTTCCAATTTCCCTTTGAAGTCTAGCCTGCCATAGCTGCTACACACTTGTCAACCCCTGGATGTCTAATAAGCATTTTGGAATTATCAGAGCCAAATCGAATTCTTGACTTTTCTTCCCCTCACATCTACTCCTCCCCCAACTTCTCCCATCTCATAAAATAATCATCACTATTCGCTCCATTTCTCGGTCTCCAAATCTAAGAGTTGTTCTTGAGGTCCCTGATTCTCTCATACTTCATATTCATTCCACAAGCAAATTTGTGAGGTCTGTTTCTAAAATAAATTCCCAGCGTGGCCATGGCTCACTGAGTCACCATGACTGGCTAGACTGAGGCCCCATCACCTCTCCGCTGGAATGCTGTGTATCCTCCCAGCTGGTCTTTCTGTCTTCATTCTTGTCCCTCTTTTGTCTACTCTCTAAGCAGCAGCCAGAGTAATCTTTTAAAATATCAAAACAAAACCTTTTAAATAATTTCTTAGAATAAAATCCAAAGTCCTACTCTGGCTTATGGTTTCTACAAGACCTGGCCCTTACCTATTTCTCTGACCTCATTTTCCATCACTCTCTCTTGCTTCCACTTTACTTAAACTGGTTTTTCTTCCAGTTCCTAAGTCAGGCCACGTTCATTTCTTCTCTGAGACCCCCTACACATGCAGTCCACTTTACTTAGAACAATTTTCCTACAGACTTTGCATGAGCCACATTATTTAGAACTTAACTCAAAAATTGTCTTGAATCAGTCAGGAATGGCTTCTCTAGCTCCATATATTCTTGGCCCATATCTCTCCTTAATTTGATTCCTTTTGCTTACAATTTTGTTATCTGTTTGTAAACTTGTTTATTGCTCTCTCAGCTCTAGTGTGAGTTCCATGAATGCAGAGACTCTACCTCATGCATCTTTTATATATTCATCTTTGCACTAGTGCCTGGTATATAGTGAGTACTCATGACATTTCTGTAGAATAAATGAATACATAAATGATCATACAGGGCAAAGGATTTAGACTACACCCCCAAATGCTAAGAATTCTGTTTAAATCCTCTACTTCTCTGCACTAAATTTTGCCTTGCTCAATTAAACTTTTAACAGTGATCTTGAGTCTTTATTTTACTGGTCACCATTTGAGATTCAAGGCATATCTTGGGTTCGTCTGAAAACATAGGGGTGGAGGTAGTGTCTGATAGAGTCCTTTCTGTGGGAGGAATGTGTGGGAAAATCCACTTGGGAAAGGATTTAACATATTTTCACTGCTTGGGTATAGAGATACTTGAGATTGTTTAAGAAGCTGATAATGTTGTCCATCAGAACAAGAGAAGACATTTGACCCCAAATAAAGCCTTATATTGCAAAGAGGAGTGGAGATCCTGAGTAATAACCACACCCATCATGACCAGAGCAAAAGACACACTGCCTAGTATACCCAGTGACCTGTGTGGAGGAGAAAGCAGGAGTGATCGGCTCTTGACTATAGGTGATAGGGATTCCTAGAACTGAGGACTTTGCATTACTTTCTGGATCTGGTGGGGCCAAGAGCTTGTGTAAAGTTGGTTTTAGAGGACAAAAAAAAAAAAAAATCAAATGGCTGTGTTTTCCACTATTTTTTAAAAAGTGCTTTTGAAGACCTGATGGAGTTAATGAAACAATTGCTTGCATATTATTTCTGCTGAGACACACACTATCTAATTTATCTTATCTTGATTGTGAGAGCCTGTGCCCTTATGCTTTCTCAGAGATACTTGGTCCACTGACCTGCAGGAGAAGCACAGGATTTTTTAGCTCTCTTGGCAGAAAAATGAAGCCTCTGCTTGGAACCTTTTATATCTTGGGGATGCTGGTTCCTGGAGGGCTGGGATATGATAGGTGAGTGTGAAATGGGAGGAGGGGCCGACCGTTATGATTTAGATTGTCTAAATGGAAAACTTTTTTCAAGATCAGTGCATCTGGATTCTCCTATCTTCTCACCCATACACACCATGAGATGAAAATAATAATCACTGAAGTTTTATCACTGAACATTACTTTAATAATTTGTAAATAAATGAATAAATATCTAACAAAGATTTCCTACCACAATGTATGATAAATAGCAATAGCTATGTCATGTTTTGTAATTAAAAAAGAAAATTGTAATGAAAATTATATATCCTTCATTTACATAGTTTCTCAATTGGTAAATCACATTATTCTAATTACTACAAAAATGTTTAAAATGTTTAACATTACCAAATAATTTCACCCAGAGAAAATTACTGTTAGTGTTTTTATTTTTGGATAGATAGTTAATTATGTATACAGTACTAATGCCAGAATTTTTCAGTTAAATTGTATTGTAAAAATTTTCCTAGGACATGCTTAATTTACTTAAAACATAATGCAATCACAAATAATATTTCATCATTGCTACCCTGTAAGTCAGAGTTGATTTCTAATTTGTTATTTATACAAATAATGCTGTGATAAGCATCCAGCTACATAACAATTTTTTGCAAATCTTTATTTCCCTAATGTAAGTTATAAGAAGTGGAATTACTGGGTTAGAAGCTGAGGAAAATTCAAATTACCCTTTAGAAAAGTTGCATCAGTTTACACGTCAGCATCAGTGTACGAAAGCCCTTTTTAAGTATTTGCCAAGTTGACAAGTGAAAAATACCCACAGCTGACTTACTTTGCATTTTGTTGGTTTCTTATAAGGTTAAGCACTTTTTTGGTTTATTATTCATTTCATTGGTTTATAAATTGCTCATTCATGTCATTTGCCCATTTTTGTGTTCTCTCCCTATTCATCATGAATAACTTCTTTGAATAGGTAACATATATTGAACATTCTGTGTGTGTGTGCAGTTTCCATATAAAGTATATTTTCCTTTATTCATACATAGCTTACTATTCTGCACACTTGGTATATCTCATCAGGTATGTGTGGTTATAAATTGCATTTCCTCTTTTGTTTCATGGTTAAATGCATCTTGCAACAAACTTACTCTCAACGAACATAGAAATCTACTCCAATTTTTGCCCCAGACTAACCATCTGGCCTCAGCCTGCCCTTTAGCTTCATAGACAATCTGATTTTGGATATCTAAAGAGTGTCCAGGATCTACGTGATGCCTAAACCTGTTTGGACATTGCCATCTCGTAGTTAACTTGGTTTCATATAGAAATTGCATTTAGCTTCGTTTCTAAGATTCCTCATATATAAATCAGAGACAAAGACGTACATATGTCATAGGGCTTTGACTGCTTAAAAATATCACAAGCCTTAAAATTACACATCCTTTGGCCTAGTATGTCTGCTTCTTGAAATTTATACTGAGAAAACGAACCATGGAAAGAATTGTATGCACTGAGATGCAGCTTTATTTATAAGATAAAGATTATATTAAAAAATTTTAATATTTGGAAACAATCTCAATGTCCCATATTAGGTTATGTAAATGTTGATACATGACATATGACAATGGAATATTATTTATCTATTAGAATAATAATTATGAAAAATTTTGATAGCATGGGAGAAAGCACATTTTATGCTAAAAGAAAGATGCAGAATACAAAATGTAATAAAATACTTAGAAAAATAAAAGAATAAATATGTACCCTAATGGACATCATTATCTTTAGTTGGTAATTGTTTTTCCTTCCCCTCAACTGTTCTTCATTTTGCAAATATTCTACAAAGATGATACATAGAACTTTTATTTTAAAAAATGATTGCCAAGCCCAGGTTAAATTACGGAAGTGATTGGCTCAGAAGATGAGACTCAGACAAGATGCCTTCCAGTGGTCATCTCTTGAGGAAAATATTTCGTATCTGCTAGTCCTGGTCCTTATTGATTGTTTTATTTTCATTATTATTTACTGATATAAATAATGTCCACTTTTATATGGCTCTTATGAACTTGAAATATAGGTTAGCTGCCATTATTGATACTTTTCATTTAGTCTATGTGATGTAGTGGCAGTCCAGAAGATGTACAATTAACAAAGATGACAAGCTTTGCAATCTTTCTCTTGATCATTTAGGGAGGTGGTCTGTCATATATATATATATATAGCATACTCCCAATAAAAGTATAAATCTGTAGAATCATTTGGGATTTAGCACTATAAATCAAATGCCTTGAAAATGTTCATCCTCTTTGACCTACTAATCCCATTCCTAAAATGTAGCTCAAGGAAATAATCAGAAATGAGCAAAAAGATTGATGCAAAAAGTCATTAACTCCAGAATTATTTACAATGGCAAAAAAAAAAATGAAAAGGGAGACAGCTTTAATATCCAGCATAGATGACAATCTTTAAATACATGATACTATGTAAATATACACTTTCTGTCAAATATTGTGCAGTCATTAAAAATAATGTTTATAAAGAGTTTTTATTGGTTTGAGAATGTCTCTGGTAGAATATATAATAAAAAGGAGTGAATACAAAATTATATATAGATATAATTTGCACTGTGTTTATAAAAAAACATGCACAGATAAAAGACTGAAAGGAAATATGCCAAAATTTCAACAGTGGTTAACTCAGGGAGGTGGGATTATGGAGGACTATTCCTTCCTTCTCTTTTCTAATTTTCTCCTCTCCATGCTTACTAAATTTTCCACTTATATGCATATGTTAATTTTGTAAGAAGGGGAAAAAAACTTTGAAAATACATTACTATCATGAAATATTCATGTAACTGTTTCCTAAGTATTTAAAATACAAAATCTGCCTCAATATTCATTAGTTTTTTTTGCCTCTTTTTACATTCTAGTCAAAATTTCATCAGACAATCGTTGATCTGCAGTATTTATTAATAATGTACCCCCAAAGGATCATTTTCTCTGTTAAACATTTTATGAATTCCTATTAAAAAATACACAAAGTACAATAATCTTTTCATTTGATTGGTGAGATGAGACTGGGTGGTGATTTGAGGGATTAGCCAGCTTTTTATTTCCCTCTCTACATGTATTATGCATCACCCAAGGAAATGCCTAGAAACTGGGAATTGCCTTTTCTAAGTATATAGTTTAAACATTTCTTGGACTAAGTATTTGAGGTTCTGAGGCTTAAGTATTGTTTAATTTCATGTTAAAATGATAAGCACTTTTAATATCAGGAATTTTCACTCAATTCCCTTATGGTTGACTTTTTTTTGCATGTTATATGGACCCAGTCATTCAATGCGGGGCTTAGGGGACACCAGAGTCACACATTTTGCAGACATTAGCTGGGAGAAAGCCAAATGTTGATGTCTGATGGTGTCCAGTTACCTATCATTCATTCCCTTCCATACTGTGACATTGCCTGGGAATATCAGCCCAACTGAAACAGGAACTCGCAGCTACCAGGACTGTTTTTTAAGTGTATGCTCTGTCCTACCCACTGAGTAGATAAATGTATAAAGAATGACCTGAACTATGTGAACTACATGAAGGAAGGAATAGCATCTCTCTGGACAACCACCATCCCCTCCCAACACTGTGAAAGAATCTCCAATGATCTGAACTCAAGTCCTGGCAGGACAGCCAGTGCAAGGAATGAGAAAGAAGGAAAGACTGAAAAAATATCCTTCTCATTTGCTTCAGTCCCTTTCCTCTCTCCATTCTGAAAAAGCACTGAAACTATCTCCCGATGACTTTTTAATGCTGAGACTTATTTTGCTGTCTTTGTAGTCCAAATCAGAGATAGACAATTTTTTAAAATAGGCTAATAAATATTTTATGCTTATTTGCTAGGGTATAATAAAAGTATAATTTAGCTTCTGTAACAAAATCTTCAGGAAAAAAAACCCCTCAGATAATGGTATTTACCTTAAAGGCTGTTGTTAGGATGATATATGTGTGTCTTAGAACAGTGCTGACATGCATAACTGCTCATAAAATGTTGGTTATTATTACTGGCTATGCTTCAGTTTGGAATTCTCCCTCTCCTGTTCTCAATATGCTTAATGCACCATTGAGCTGGTTATCAGACTCTAGCTTATCACATCTCATGTTTCATTATTTAATGGTTAAGTTATTTTGCTTTTCATGTATTTATGTCTCATTCTCTTAAGTAGATTTTAAGCTCTATAAGGAAGACATATACGTTTCGGTTACTATTATCTATTATCACTTTGGCATAGAGTACTAAGAGTACCCACCTATTGGGTTGTTTGGTGAATTAAATAAGACAATAATATAAATGCTTTGACTGATGCCTAGAACATACTGCCCTATAAGGGTTAATGAGTGTTACTATAATATATATATATTTGCTGATTATTTGATAAGGACATGAAATGTGCTCCTGAAAATGTACTTGTAAATTGAATTTTAAAAAATTTTAAACACACCAAGGGGTATATGTATTTTCTTTATTAAAATAATAATATGTTTTGTGAACCAATCAACCTCAACATATTGTTTACACCTGTATATATTTCTATATTAAAATTGTTCATTCTGAAGCACTCTGGTTTATTAAAAAAATCAAATAAATGATAAACATTAGAAATGAATCCCTATATTACATGGAGAAACATATTGCTCCTCAATTATCACAATTTTAGTAGCATTCGTTTCTTGTAATCACCTTCCAAAATTCATTTCATTGTTTTAACTAATTACTTAGGCAGTTCTATCTCATGAGATTTTCATTTGGACAAACTAAAGAAGGTAAAATGTATTTAACAATAAAACACTTACAATTTTGAAGATAAAGAGCTTCTGCTAAATTCAGATTGTTATTATTAATGTTAGTAACAATTAAGTTCATGGAATTTGTGTAGAGAAATGAATGGATTTCTATGACAGTAGGTGATTGTGGTACATGGTGCTAAATGAACCAGATTAAAAAATTAAAATTTTGTCAATCTGATTTCTGAAGTTTTGTAGATGTGAATGGAATTTGAGTTTTAATTAATTCTATTGAAAATATTTTGTAGTTTGGTATTGTTTGAATATAATGCCAGTTAGATGGCTAAATTATTCTCCATATAATTTTTATTTTCAATATTATTGCAGCAAAATAGGTTTCGTCCTTTGTTTTTTTTTTTGAACTACTACTATGTTTTAACATTTATTAAGTATTAACTAAGTGTCCAAAATTTGCTCATTTTTAAACATGGATTAATTTATTTAATCCTCATAAGAATCTTATGGGAAAGTAGTAGTATTTAATTTACAGACTGAAAAATGAAGGCTTAGGGAAAGAGTAAATATAATACCAGAATGTTCAGAGGAAAAATGTGAGAAAATTAATAAAAATCATTAAAACATTAGCTGATTAGATCTCTAATACTTTCCTTTGCAATGCGGGGTCGCTGTCCAAAAGTTCACACCCCAGTTTCTCCAAAATCTCACATCCCAGCGCTATTAACCTAGTAACCACTCCATACATATTTGTGGGGTAAATGAATGATCAATTAGTATATTTTCGTAGTGAAAATATAAGCTTTTTTTCTTTTTTACTTAAATAAAGCCTTTTAGTTAGGGAACTAAAACATTCATCAAACATTTGTGTGGCTTAGAGATAAGAGTACTAGCTGTGTAACTTACTAGCTTTGTGACTGCAAGTTACTTAGTTTCTCTTGCTTCAGTTTTCTTATTTGAAGATGACATTTCCCAGGGTTGCAATAAGAATAAATTATATAATGTGCACGATTGTGCTGGCACAATATATGGCATAAAGGAGAGGCATTCAATAGTTTTAGTAAACTGTTTGTTAAAATATCAGCCATAAATGGATAATCTGAATAGGCCTATATCTATTTTAGAAATTGAATCAATAATAATAACCTTCCAAAACAGAAAGCACCAGGCCCAGATTGGTTCACTGGTGAAAATTCTATGAAACATTTAAGGAAAAAGCTGTACTAATTCTCTATAATCTCTTACAGAAGTTAGAAGCAGAGAGAGTACTTTTTAATTCATTTATGAGGCCAGTATTATCCAGATACCAAAACTAGGCGAAGACATTATGACAAAAAAAACAAACAAACAAAAAAAACCAGACCAGTATCTCTCATGAACATGGATGTAAAAATCCACAACAAAATGTTAGCGAATTGAGTCCAAAAAATATATATATAAAAGAATTATACACCACATCCTCCAGCTGAGATTTATCCCAGATATGCAAGGTTTGTTTAACATTGGTTAATCAATTAATGTAATCCATTACATCAATAGGCTAAAAATGAAAATGTACACAATCATATCAATAGATGAAAAAAATTTTGACAAAACTGATCACCCATCCATGATAAAAACTCAGTAAATTAGACTTAGAGGGGAATTTCCTCAACTTCAGAAAGAATAGCTAGAAAAAATCTACAACTAACATTATATTCAATGGTAAGAAACTAGAAGCTTTCCTGCTAAGACCAGGAAAAAGGCAAGGACTTCCACACTCATCACTGCTTTTGAAGATTGCCCTGGAGGTCCTAGTCAATTCCATAAAACAAATAATGGAAATGAAAAGTATGCATATGGGAAAGGAAGAAATAAAACTGTCTTTGCAGATGACATCTATGTAGAATAGCTGAAAGAATTGACAAAAAAACCCACCTGTAATTAATAAGCAATTATAGCAAGGTTTCAGGATATAAAGTTAACGTACAGAAGTCAATCATTTTTCTGTATACTAGCAATGAACAAATAGAATTTAAAATTTTAAAAAATTATTATTTACATTATCACCCCTCAAAATGAAACACTTAGGTATAAACCTAACAAATTATGTACAAGATCTATGTGAAGCAAGCTACATAACTCTAATGAGAGCTATCAAAGTAGAATAATAGGTGGAGAAATGTTCCAAGTTCATGGATAGGAAGACTCAATATTGTCGAGATGTCAGTTCTTCCCAACTTGATCTATAGATTCAATGCAATCCCAGTGAAATTTCCAGCAAGTTATTTTGTAGATATCAAAAAAATTTTATAAGGAATAGCAAAAGATGCAGAGTAGCCAAGTAGAAGTAGAGGAACAAAGTTGAAGAACTGATACTCTTAAACTTCAATACTTATTATAAATCTGCCTAATTAACACTGTAATCAAGACAGTGTGTATCAGTGAAAGAATAGACTGATAAATCAATGGAACAGAATTGAGATCTCAGAAGTAGACCCACAAAAATACAATCAACTGATCTTTGACAAAGGAGTAAAGACAATACAATAGCGCAAAAGTCTTTTCAACAAATGATGCTGGAACAACTAGACATCCATATGCAAAAAAGTGACCTGGACACACCTTCCATTCATCACAAAACTTAACTCAAAATGGATTACCTAAATATAAAATGCAAAACTATAAAACTCCTAGAAGGTAACATAGGAGAAAACCTAGATAATCTTGGGTATAGTGATGACTTTTTAAATACACCACCAGAGGCATGATCTCTGAAATAAATAATTGATAACCTATACTTTATTAAAATTAAAAACTTCTCCCCTTAAAAGACAATGTCAAGAGAAGGAGAAGACAAACCACAAAGTGAGAAAAAATATTTGCAAAAACACATCTGATAAAGGACCATTATCCAAAACGTACAAAGAACTCTTAAAACTCAACAATGAGAAATGGACAAAGGACCTGAACAGACACCTCACTGAAGAAGATATACAGATGGCAAGTAAACACATGAAACATTGCTAGAGGGAATGCAAAATGGCACCGTCACTTTGGAAGACAGTTTGGTAGTTTCTTACAAAATTAAACATACTCTTGCCATATGATCCAACAATCATGCTCCTTGGTATTTACCCAAATGAATTGAAAATTTATGCCCACAAAACCTTGCACACAGGTGTTTATAGCAGCTTTATTCATAATTGCCAAAAACTTGGAAGCAACCAAGATGTCCTCTTTGACATCTCGATGTGAGCAGATAAAGTGTGGTAGTTTGAAATGAGCTATCAAGCCATAGAAAGACATGGAGGAAAGCTAAATGCATATTACTAAGTGAAAGAAGCCAATCTGGAAAGACTGCATACTGTATGATTCCAACCGTGTGACATTCTGTGAAAGTCAAAATAATGAAAAGATCAGCGTTTGCCAGGGATTAGGCTGGAGGAAAAGATGAATGGTCAGATCACAGAAGATTTTTAGAGCAGTGAAACTATTCTGTGTGATACTGTAATGGTGGATACATGTCATTATACATTTGTCCAAATCCACAGAATGTGCAATACCAAGAGTGAGCCCTCATGTAAACTGTGGGCTTTGGGAAATAATAATGTGTCAATGTAGGTGCATTGTTTACAACAAATGTACCGCTCTGCTGTGGGATTTCGATAGTGGGGGAGGTTGTTTGTGTGGGGGAACAGCAGGTATATGGGAACTCTCAGTATTTTTCATCTAATTTTGTTGTGAACCTAAGACATACCTAAAAAATAAAGTTTATTTAAAAAGAACTGTTGCATAAAAATTCTTAGAATTATATGCAGTATTGTGGTTAATATTTCAGGCATTTCAGTCAGGCTGTCAGGGTTTAAATTCCAATAACAATTTCCCTGTGATGCAGTTTCTTCATTGCTGAAATGGCGATAATGAGTACCTTATCTTGGAGTTTTCGAGAGAAGTAAATGAGATTTAAATTGCTTAAACCAGTGAGTGTCTCATAGTAAGTTTCAGTTCAGTAAATCTTAGCTATTCTCTCTTCTATAAATTTTAAGTGTTTTTATCTACAGCATCTTGCTGAATTATCCCAGCCTCCCGGCAAGGTTAGAATGGCTCTTCTCATCCTGCAGATGAGGAAACTATGGCCCAGAGGGACTCAGTGGTACCTAAGTTCTCGCAGTTAGTAAGTCGCAGAGGCAAGACTTCATTACTGACTTTTGTCCTCAAAATGCTGTGCATTTTGCTTTCTCGTATCTTTTCCAACTATCTTTTTTCATCAAGGACTAGGATAACCCTCATGATATCCTGGTCTCTTCACTGTGTTTTGTCTGACTTTCTTCCCTTTGCAGATCCCTGGCACAACACAGACAAGAAGTTGTGGATGAGACAGTGAGTCCACGGAGGAGCCTGGAGACATATTCCTATAACAGATACCACCCCATGGAGGAGGTAAGCAAAGACACAAAATGGGGGTGTTGGTGGTGGTCACAACCTACTTTAGGATGAGTGAGGGATAGTTCACTGCTAATATCCATGGACTAGAGAGCCTCAGGATGTGAAGCTGATATTTGTCTGTGCACTAAGGTCAAGGAATTCCCAACCATTACTCCCTGACCACCACCACTAAATATGCAAATCCTGGCGATATGAAATAAAAAGGCAAATCAACAACAAAAAGAAAAAGGAAGAAAAGAACACCCGAACCAGTTTTGGTAGTGTAACAGGGATCAGAATGCACCTTTACTCTTGTTCATCAAGTCTTAAGCTGGTTTAAGCAGGGCAGGGCCAATGTGTATGTAGATGTGGGATGGAAGGTGGAGAAAACTTCTGATTGAATCATATTTAGCCCCAAAGTGTGGTATTATTTCCAGTAGGATGCAAGAAACACGGGCAGCTGCTCTTAAGAGTGGAAAACTTTTTTTTCCAAAGAAATATTTGTATTGCTGCTAAGTTCAGTGGTTTCTGAAACTGGATATGGTAAAATGTACATATGAATATATGCAGTGTGTGTGATATTGTGAAGTATAAATTTCTTTTGAAGTATGAATTTCCAAAAATAGAATTATGAGGTTAAAGGGTATGTGAATATAAGTGTTTGATATAAATGTACAAGTTGTCCTCCAACCTGGCTTTACCATTTATTTCCTCGGTATTGAGGAATATATTAATATTTTCCAGAATTTTTTCAAAGAGTACAAGAAAGAATTTACATTTTCTTCTATAACAATCATCCCAAAGTTTCTTAGATTTTTGAACAAGGTCCAGTAGGGCCCACGGGAAGCGTATGCTTTGGTATCAGAGATGAGTCACACCTGGCTTGGCCACTTTGCTCTGTGACCTTGACCAAGACATTTAACCTCTTCGTTCCTCAACTTCCTCATATGTGAAATGAGAGTAGCGATGCCTATCTTGCAGCTTTGTTGTAAGAGTGGAATAAACTGCACTACTACTAGTTAAGCATGAACAATTGCTGCTGCAGTTTGTGTCTCTCCAGAGATTTAAGGCACCTACATCTGTCCCAGCCCAACACAGAAGCACACACAATACTCATGTGATGATTTGTTAGTCCTCTTACTGTTATAATAATGCCTTTTATCTGTAGATATTCCATGCTAAGATGAATTTCAATTGAGACACAAGAATTTTCAAATAGAATATTTGTGATGCCAAATAATTATATGTACCGTAACTCATCATTCAGATGTTTTAACTATACCAAAATTGAGTGTGGGAGGTATCCTATCCCATGCTGATAACTAGCTTAATATGTCTTACCTTTGTCAATTCTTTATTTCATTCTCTCTTCTAGAACCCCAAATTACTGACTTACAGGCAGAAGTCTAAGACCCTTCCTTTGTAAGCACGGTGTTAGGACTTGTAATTAAATCAACGTCTATTCAGTTGTATTCAGCTGAAATAAAGTGATTGACTTGGCTTGATTAAGAAACTTCTGCTGGCATGTCGGTGAAGGGCATACCCAGGTCTTCTCTAATTTTGGATCCATGGACATTAGCTAAGGATATTTTGGGGAGTCATAAAGACTAAAGAAGGTCCCACAAAATAGACTTGACCTGAAACTTCTGGCATGACTGAGTGCCACCGGGAAATCTGGAAGTCTGGTGGCCATTATTGTACGATGTTTCAGAAGTGTTATAGTGGATTGTTGCAATTGATTATTCTCAATCATTTACTTGTAAAGTTCAACGGGATGTCCTAAGACTGGATGGCAGAGTAAATCTTTTAAGAACATGGTGGGTTGGGGGTGGTCATAATTCGTTGGTTTAGTCTTCTAGTTTGTTTAGTGCACAGCTGTTGAAATGAAGAACAAAGAGTTCAGAGTTCAGTGTCTTGATGAAAGAAGCAGTTATCTTAATTAGGGGCAAGCAAACAGTCTTCTTACTGATAACCTCGCTTCTCCCTGGCTGTTTCAGGTCTATCAGTGGATGAGTCAGATAAGGGAGAAGTACACAGAAGTGGTGACACAGCATTTCCTAGGAATGACCTACGAGAGCCGGCCCATGTATTGTCTGAAGGTGAGCGAGAGGCTGGGAATTTCAGGGGTCTCTCCTGCCCCATCCAAGGCTACGTGTTGACGATCGAGGCTCGAGTGAGAAATATGGACAAGGTTAAAAGAAGCAGGGCAGAAAGACTTTGACTTTTCCACCTCAAAGTGGGTTTTAAAAATTCAAAACTTGTAAACGCTTACACCTTATTCATTTGCATGGAGTCTTGTTCTGGAGGGAGTAAAGAGAATTTGGAACGGTTGGGTGAGACCATGTGGGTAGGATTTAAAAATAAAGGCCCCGAGGTAAGAATTTTTTCGTTAGCTTTCTTCATGCTGGGCCTCTCTCATCCCCACTAAGACTGGGGAGCTTAAAATCGTGGCTGGTGGCTGGAGAGGACTTTAGACATTCTGGCTGAGTGGTTTCCAGCCTGTGCTCTGTCAGGGCCTGGGTGTCTCCGTGCCCCCACAGAGCGGGAGAGGGGGGCCTGCTTATAGGGGAAATCCCCACTCATGCTTCCACCAAAGCCAGTTCCCTTTTCATGTGTATTTTGAGTTTTTAGAAAATTGTTCTTTTCTAAAACTTTTTTTCCTCCATAAAAATGTTTGGAAATCATAGACAACCTTCATTTTTGGTTCCTTCACTTTTGTGAGAGAACAAAGACCCAGAGGAGTGAAAGGACTTGTACGAGATCGCACAGCCGGATTGTAGCAGAGTCAGAGGGCTAACCCAAGCTCCAGGTTCTCTGCCCCTTCTGCGTGTGACATGATGAAAAGTGTTTGAGGCTGAATAACCACTTTCCACAGGGCCGGTCTCTCAGTTTTGGACCAGTGATAGTTCAATTCTGGCTGCTTTCAAGTAATACTCATGCCTGGGCCCCATTCACAGAGATGCTGAGATAATTGCTCCAGGATGGGGCCCAGGCACTCTTTGAGAGCTCCCCGGGTGATCCTAATGAGTAGGCAGGAATGACAAGCACTGCACCTAACCTTTGGTTTTCAAAGGGTGTTCCTTGCACCAGCAGCATCAGCATCGCTTGGGAACTTGATAGACATGCACATTCTCGAGGCCGACTGCAGATCCACCGAATCAGACACTCTGGGGATGGGCCCGGCAATCTGGGTTTTAACAGGCCCTCCTCCAAGTGACCCTGATGCCCACTCAAGTTTTCCAGCCACAGTGCCCTTCCCAGTTCCAGGTGATGCGGGTCCTGCTGGCCCACAACTGTGCTTCAAGAACCACCACCAAAGCACTTAAGCACTTCGGCGTCAAGAACTGGCATGCCTTTGTTTGCTGTCCTCTTAATACTTTCCATAGATGAGTTAACTGACAAAGCACACTTACAAATCTGAGAGTTACCTACAACTACAAAAATATCTATTGGCTTGAAATAGAATTTACCCAGGAGCTGAGTAATTGGTTAATATGTTAAGTGTGCGCCACTTACTTACTTGAGTTTAGATAGGCCATCACATGCTGAGCTGAGTCAGCCGAAAAGGCATTTAAACATCCTTTGCTCAGGACATACTTTAAAGAATAGAACTGGTACATAATAAGGAAGCAATAAAGATAAACATATGATCATATACGTATACTCATAAAAGGGGTAATTATAGGAGAGAGTTAAGGTAAAAGGTGGATCAGGAATTATGCCAGCAAACTTTGAAAATGGGTGAGGCTAAAAGGAAAAAATTCCTTGAGTATGATGACTCCAGCCCCATATTTATTCCAATTTGTAAGTTTCTCACAGATATAGAGGGAGAGCCTTCAGCAGCCCAGTTCCCAGTAGCTTTCAGTGAACAGTATGAGTCCTGGCCATTCACAAACCCAAAACAGATGTGACTATTACTAACATGGGCATGTTCACAGCTTTTTCTCCACCAAAGAGAACCTATAATTTCCAGGTTCATTCCTATGTACCCCACTGACCTGATGGCTGACCTGATGTACAAGAATGACAAATGGGGAGAGGAGAAAGAAGTCTGGGTTAGCCGGGAGTGGAGGATTCTCTAAAGGAAAGGGAAGAAGACAGGTATCTCTAGGGGAATAAAAAAAAAACAAAAATGGCTAAGTTTGCACAGTGGTTTGTGATAATAAGTAATTGTTTGCTAATGGAGCACGAATGTCCCCTTTAGATCAGCCAACCATCCGATAACCCCAAGAAGATTATTTGGATGGACTGTGGAATTCATGCCAGGGAATGGATTGCTCCTGCTTTTTGCCAGTGGTTTGTGAAAGAAGTAAGTATCTTTAACTTTCTCATAATGGTTAACCACCCCACAAAATACCTGTCATGTCTCGGCTATTCAGACAGCATACTTCTTCCACATGTTGACAGTGCAACTCTCCACTGAGCTACCCCTTCACCCCAAGGGAAATGGAATTAATAAGTAGCTTCACTGAAAATTGAGTTAGATGTTCTGATCTCTTTCCAGTGCACCGCAAATCATTTTTGTTGGAAGGTAAATATATTTAAATGCAGAAGAAAATACATCTTGGAAGTCAGAGATGAGTTTGAATCCTGGCGCTGACTCTTTCTAATAGTCTTGTGCAAAATTTCTCACACTAGGACCCCTAGTTTTTCACCTGCAAAAGGTATATGAAATGACCACTTCAGCGTCTGTTGTGTGGATTAAGAGATTAACACATGGGAAATACCGAGTATGGTGAATTCTTGCATATGACCTATATCTTGCCCTTGGGAGAATAAGGAACCTTTAAAATTAATATCAGAGACTTTTTGTGATAGTCTTTTCAGAAACCCAAACATAATGAAACCCACAAAGGGTTAGTTCTCAAAGTGTGATTCCTAGACCAACAGCATCAACGTAACTGGGAACCTGATAAAAATGCAAATTCTTGTTTTCCATCTTACCGCCTCATACCTAATGACTTAGGGGTGGGGGATGGAGATGGGGAGTGTAGCCAGGCAGTCCATATTTTAACAAGTCCTCCAGGTGATTCCAATGCATGCTAAAGTTTCGGAACGACCACCGTAATGAATAGGACAATTGAAGCAAGGTTGGAGGGTGGAGGGTGGTGGTTGGATATGCAGTCACCTCTTATAATTAAGTTGAAATTATTAGAAAATTAGAGAAAAGACCTCTCCCCAGGATCATTGCAAATGTTTCTGTATTAAATTTCTAGATTCTGCAAAACTATAAAGACAACTCAAGGATAAGACGGCTCCTTAAGAACCTGGACTTCTATGTTCTTCCAGTTCTTAACATAGATGGTTACATCTATTCTTGGACAACTGTGAGTTTATCGAGTCTGGTCCTGGGATGGGTTCACGAGCTAGATCTTGACTTAGGTTCATTTTTCTGACTTCAGTCACCACGTCTATAAAAATGTTTTGTGACCATAGAAAGGAAGAAATCTTGTTTGGGATGAAAATCAACATTTTTCAGCCAACAATCTAAGTGCAGTTTAGGATTGAAGAGGCTGAAGGCGTTTTTCAAAAGTCCAGAACATGTGTTTTGTTTGTTTGTTTTTGACATATTCCCAGTTTTCCAGCCAGACAACGTTTCTCCAACTCCATCTCCTTAAAATTCCAGGATTGCATGACACCTGATAAGGATTATGTTGGTATAAAATTTCTACACCACCCTCTGTCTGCCTTAAATCAGTTCTAGAATCATGAGGGGCACATATGATCTGTAAATACTAACCCAGCCTTCATTTTTCATTGTGATCATGCACACAGTGGGGAAAACTTCTCATAAACTTTTTTATTTAGGAGACAACCTCCTCTTGGCAATGTTTCTAAAGCATACCACTTCTTAAGTAAGACCCCAGTTCCTAAAGAGTGTTAATTCCTCCTGCTCCCCTGGGCTTCCCCTGAGGCCCTTCATGGGACCCCTTTCTCTGCAACAGCCTTTCTGGCCCATGTGTGAATCAAGTCCTTCCCTCCCAGCTTGTCTGGCAAAACGTGTCTTCATCCCCATCTCCACCCATTAGTCTTCTGCTTCCAGAAACGTGCAGAGACCATCTCTGATACACCTGGAACAGCCTCTTTCCATCTGCCCAGCTATTTCCCTTTCGTCCTTTATCACTTAGACTTAAAAATACAATTCTCAGAAGCTTTTCCTGATTAAGCAGATCACATGCACCAGACACTGCTGAACTGCTCTTGAGGGAAAGGCCAAACTATCCCTCCAATTTGATGGTTTCCATGTAAGTACGCTTTGGGTCATACAGATGTTCCTGTTATTGGGGGCCACTAGCCCATCTGTGAGACTAAAAATTACATGTACAGGCTTCGGAGTGATGAGGCAAGTTCTTCCAGACCATCCTAGGAAACGTTTTTCATGTGCGAGGACCACCCATTGTCACTAACACTGATCTGTGAGACCTTAGAATGGCAACATCCCTGTGTTCCTATTGCAGGATCGGCTTTGGAGGAAATCCCGTTCGTCCCATAATAATGGCACATGTTTTGGGACAGATCTCAATCGAAATTTCAATGCATCCTGGTGTAGTAAGTACACGCTTAGTAGATGAACTGATAAATAACAACAAGAACAAAATAGAACAGAGAAACTAGGAAAGAGGTGAATTACTAGAATCAGTACTAATTCATATATATAACTTTTGAAATAAATATCTAATGTTGTACAGCTTTCTGGACTTCCTAATCAGTGTTATTCCCTCTAAAGAGATGAAATTATCTATGCAGTAAAAAGAGCAACACTCAAATACAGGACTGTCTCCAAGTGAGGCTGGCTAAAAAAGGGCAAAGCAAACCTAGACCAGTGTGACTATGTTTGAAATCCATCACTTCATTTTAAAATATATGGGTCATTAAGGGGGAGGCCGTAGCTCAGTGGCAGAGTGTGTGCTTAGCATGCACAAGGTCCTAGGTTCAATCCCAAGCACCTCTGTTATAAATAAATAAAAATAAATAAACCTAATTACCCCCCTGAATATACGAATTGTTATAAAGAAAAGAAAAATCAGAGAATCACCCTTGCAGATTATTTTACAGCGGGAGTGCAGCAGTAAACAAGGCAAACATTTTCTTCTCCTTAAGGCATTTTCATGTTTCTGAATCTCAACATGCCCAATGCATTGGAAGCAAATAGAGGTGGGAATGGTTGTGAGCAGTCTGGTTAACAACCAGATGGCAAAAGGTAACATTCATTCTTGGTAGCTGTGTGGTCTTGGAAAAATGGCTTCAGCTCTTTGCCTTAGTTTTGTCTTATTTTTAAAATGTGGCCCAGAGTAATACCATCTTATCACTGGATTGTGGCGGGGATTCAGTGAGATGCTGTGTTGGAGAGGCTGGGCTCAGTGCCCAGCATGTAAAAGGTGCTGTTGATGGTCCTTATTATTATTGATGAGAATGACAGACTACAAAATAGTTTTTTTTTTTCATCCTTGTAAAATAGCTCTCATGAGACTCAAGACGGTAAGACAAGAGAGAGACTTAGACCAACAAGACTATGTCAAAATCTGACCCTGGAACCCAAGAGCTGGTTCCTAAGGGCCCACCAAAGGTTTAAGTGAAAGATTAATAAAATTGCCATTCCATTTTCATCTTCCTTTCTGGGAGTTTGTTTCTAAATCTGAACGTCAGCCTTCTTGCTTTTCTGAGTTCCTCCTTGAATGACTATCCAAGTTGACTTATTTAACCAGGACTAACTTAGACAAGCAGAGGCAAGCCTAGATTCCATCTACAGATGCCCTGAGCAAGGATGGGCCCCTCCCTTAGCCTTGGTCAATGCTAAGCAGAGCTCGTGATGCCTTCCTTGGGGTTTCCTTTATATTTCAGGTATCGGCGCATCTCACAACTGCCAAGAATTAACATTCTGTGGGACAGGACCCGTGTCTGAACCAGAGACAAAAGCTGTTTCCAGCTTTATAGAGAGCAAGAAGGAGAACATTGTGTGCTTCCTGACCATGCACTCTTATGGGCAGCTCATCCTCCTGCCTTATGGCTATACCACAAATAAACCAAGTAACCACGAAGAACTGGTAAGACCATAGTGCCAAAGCCTTTAGAAGCCTCAGCAGGACCCTGCCTTCCTTTTCCTGATTTCCATTTCTAGGATTTTGGCTCCAGCTCTGCTTTCGTTCCCTCTGCTCTTTCTTACTTTCTTACTCTTGCTTTTCACACCTTGCCAGATGCCTGCTGGGAAGGCTTCAGGTTAAATGCTGCTTTACCTACGTTAATTAACTACCTGTTTCGGAAAGTGTCAAGTTGGGAGACATCTTAGGTGTTCGTGTGTAATATAAATGAGATGATTATGTTAATCATCTGCAGGAATGCGCTTTCATTTCTGTAAATTCTCTTGAAGCTCCCGTTCAGCAATTATAGCTTTTGAACCGTGCTTTAAAGAACTTGCCAGCTGTTAGTGGAATATGGTATCTCTAAAATAACATGGCTAAATAATATCTGTTCTCTTCCCTGCTAAACACAATGCTTTATTTTCTTCTAAACTCTGCCTCTAGTATTTGCCTAGGAATATTTGCAAGGGGAAGTGCTAGCAAAATTCAAAGCAGGGAAAGTCTGCTTTGTCTTATCCGGGCCCTTCTCTGAAGCTGTGTTTACCCAAGCCCTGGTGGGCAGTGAAATGCTGAAAAGAACTGGGCTCTTTGCCCTGTTGTGAACCTGAGAGCATGAGACATAAGTCAAAGAAAGGGTAAATTTAGAATTGTGATATTTTGCATCTTTTCTTAATTTAAAAAAAAAATTTTCTAATTATGGTAAAACATACATAACAAAATTTACTATCTTAAACCATTTTTAAGTAGACAGTTCAGGAGTGTTAAGTATAGTCACATTATGTGCAACGGATCTAAAACTTTTTCATCTTGCATCATTAAAATATCTCTACCCATTTAAACAGCAGCTTTGCATCCCCCTTGCCCCTGGCAACCAACATTCTACTTTTTGTCCCTACGAGTTTGGCTACTCTAGGTACCTCATATAAGTGGAATCACACAGTATCTGTCTTTTTGTGACTAGCTAATCTCACTTGGCATCATGTTCTCAAGCTTCAACCCTGTTGTACCACGTGGCAGAATTTCCTTTTCTTTTAAAGGCTAAATATTATTCCATTGCATGTATATACCACATTTTCTTTATCTATTCATCCGTCATGGATATTTGAATTATTTCCACCTTTTTCCTATTGCAAATAATGCAGCTATGAACATAGGTGTAAAAATATCTCTTTGAGATCCTACTTTCAATTCTTTGGAGTATATACCCAGAAGTGGAGTTGCTGGATCATATGGTCATTCTATTTTCAACTTTTTGAGAAGCCATCATATGTTTTTCCACAGCAAGTACACCGTTTTCCATTCCCTCCAACAGTGAACGAGAGTTCTGATTTTTTTTCATATTTTCCCCAACACTTGTTTTTTCCTGTATATTTTTAAAATTTTTTTGTTTGAACAAACTTGACATTATTAACAAACATTGGACTGGATGGGGGCTAAGCGTGCTCTACTCTTCAGATCACAGAAGCCTGGTGATCCATTGATTCTGTTGTGTCTCATCCCCTCCCACTGAAGGGTCTGTTCACTAAAAGAAAAACCACTATAGACTTTTGCTGAAGGGAGCCCTTCCCCAGCAGTGCCCCAGTATCTTTCCTGCAATTGTCTATAGACATTTGTTCTTCATGATCATTTTGCAAGAGGTGGAAATCACTAACATTTACCTAGAACTTTAAAAATTACTAAGGGATTTTATGGACATTATCTCATCTGATCCTCATGACGATATAATTAGCTCACCTTGAAGATGGGGAAATTAAGACCTTGAGTTAATTATATTTCTAAAGCCCCTGTAGATGGTAAATGGGGGAGCCTGGGCTGGAACACATGTCTTCAGACTCCAGAGGCCACATTCATCTGACCACTGCTTCTCTCCACTCAGGGAGGGTTTGCAACTTACGGGAGCCATCATCAACTTAGATGCATAGTCCACTGTGTCCTATTTCCTCCGCCTTTCTGTGCCCCAGGAGGTCTATTTCTTCAGTAAAGAAACCTGCAGAAACAGAGATTTCAGTCAAGAAGCACCAAGCCTTCCATATTTCCCGGTTCTGGTGGTATTTGCCATAGGTGTCTACTTTCTGCATAAAGGGTTCTGTGACAAACACAAATGAATCACCAAAGACAGGCCATTATAGACTTTTAATGGGACTGGCCCTTTCACCAGCAGAAAAAAAGAGACCTGTATACCCCAGTATTTTTCTAGAGAATTTCATGCCTTTTTTTGGTACGGGAAAACAGGTGCTATGTGGTCATTTTGCAAGATTTGTATTCAAAGGTCACGGGGTCTTGTGCTGCTGATTGGCTGAAGGTTAGAGCTTTCTGGCCACAGGCTAGAGGTGGGGCACTGACATCATCACTCCTGGAAGGTGGAACTCAAAGACGGGAATTACTGGCAATCCTTCAGTACTATGTGTAGAGATTGGTAAATTGAATTGAGAAAGATGGCTTCAATTCTGTCTCTCTTACGCTCTCAGGTGCTGAAGAGTTGGCATAACATTCATCACTAAGACTTTTCCATAAAAAGACTGTGAACATTTTGCCACCATGTGTCAAACTTATTGAAGCTAGTTAGCAGTGTTTTCAGGTTCTTAATGGTGAGCTTTGATAGAGTGTACAGAGACAGCGTCACACCAACTGTTCAAGGAGATTTCCATTTCTGGTACTATTTACAACCACCAGAGACTAGTAATTAATCTCTAGATATTTACAAAATCAAAAATTTGTAGAAATCATGATAAATATTACACTGCATGATAGACAACTTGGCAATCATTAAGTAGGGGAAATATAACTATATATATCCTCTTTCTAAACTGCTCTGGAAATCGAGTAGCTACAAGAAGTCTAATGTTTCAATGCTGACATTCTTTCCATTTGAACTCTTTCCATATCAGCCCCTGGATCCCATTCCAAGTGCCGTCCTCCTACACACATGCCAGGGCCTTAATCAATCTTTCTGAGTGCTTGCCTTGAGAATACGTCTATAGGAAATTGTCTGCGCCCAGTGAAGAAGTTACTAAGCCGGCATGAGGTCTTTAGCAATGTAAATTATGTACTACTAGCGAAGGGATTTTTTTGTTTTTTTTTTTTTTGTCTAGCCAGTACCTTTGGGCTGAGAAGAAGAGCAGCAGAGGAATGGGCTCTCTGTGGCCTTGCAGTATAATGTCAAAAGGAGAGAAAAGAATGATCAGGAGCTCCATCCCTAGAGATAGAAGGCAGAGTCTACGGGATCTCCATTTCATCTTTTCACAAAGGACCAAACCCATAAGCAAAGCATCACAACTGTGTGCTTCTCATGTATGTTCTACTTCTGACTCCTAGCTACTTGCACACAGTAATTCCTAGTGGAATCGTTAAAAAAAATCAAAATTTTTTTTTGTCAATAAAGAAGAGGAAACTGGAAAGACCCTCTCCTACCCCACAGCCAGGATTTGAGGAAAGGGGACTATATAGGATAAAGTAAGTAAAGGCTGGCAGTGAAAAGAGTCATTGTCTGGGATAAGCCGCAGGAAAGGAGAAAAAAAGAAATAGAAGAAACCGTTTAAATAGAAAATGTAGCCTGGAGCTACTCTACGTAACCCAAATAAAAGTTAAGACCCCACACGGACCAGTTAGCATGGAGTTTCATTCAAAGAAACACAGAAACACATGGGAATTAAAAATAGTTTAAAACAATTCCTATCTCTACCAGAGACTCTGGAAGGACTTCAGAAAAGAGTGTAGCTGGTAAATCTTAGCAACTCTTTCTCCAGGCTTCATGCTTTTAATTTCACTCACACACAGCAGCCACCCTGATTCCTTTCACTCTGCTCTTCATTCTCACTTCCTTACTGGAATTTCTCTCTCCAGAAATCCCCTTTTCTGAATCTCCTCTCCTCCTTATGATTTCCTCTTCTTTCTGCAAACAGCTCTCATACATGTGGAGAGTCTAGTGTAAATGATTAAAACCAGCTTTATTCCTCCCACTTCTTTAGCCCTTCCTACCCATCATCTCAGTTCTGGACAACACAAGCCCAGGAACTAAGGCAGACGTGGAATCTCTCTTCAGGAAGACAGTGCAGGTGAAATTCTTAGTACTGAGCGGAGACGAGGCAACAAGCCTGCAAACATGTTCAGTTTATCATTGTATCTCAGCACACACACATGGAGTGCCAAGTTCTACCACTGCCGCATGTGACCTCATCACCACTTATTGCCTTTTCTACTCTTCCTTTGAATTTCACCATGTCTGTCTGCACTCTGAGACCCAGGCACCACCATGTCACATCTTAGGATTCAATTGGACAGTGCAGGACCAGGAGAGGAGAGACAGGATCTAAAACTAGACCTGTCGCTAGTCAGACGTCAGGGAGCTGATGCACCTGTAAGTGCAGGCAGGCTGCCCTAAGGGGTAAAGCCGTGGTGGATCACAGTCCAGGCAAGGAGTGGCCAAGGGGGTTTTGGTGGTGTTCACGTAGAACCTAAGGAGTGGGATGTGCCATCAGGTGGGTAGAATGTAGCATGAGGGAATCTAGGCTGGGGGATACTTAGACTGTCAAAGGTACTCAAGGACATTCATCCAAAGGCCAACGAGCATGGCCAGTACACTTGGACCTCAGTTAGTGTCTCTGATCTCAGGAAAGGGTCTGCAGAAAGCAAGGCTGGGACCTTAGAAATCATCCAGTTCTGAGGGATTTCCAGTGTAGTAAGGGGACATGGTGCTAGGTGTGGCCAAGTGTGTCATTTCATGCTCTGAAATTCTATTTATTGAGCTTAAGAGAGAGAAGTATCAAATACTTTTAAGGAAGAATAAGAGGTGGGTAATAAGAGAAGTATGAACAAAGGGCTGTGGGAGAAAAAAGTGGGGAGAGAGAATCCAGTTGGGGTGATCAAGCAAAGCCTATGGAGAAGTTGGCATTTGAGGTCCCTTGAGGTTGGGTAGAATTTCAACATTATGAGAGGTAAGGCATCCCAGGTAGAGGCAATATCCTG